GCGCTGATAAAGACCATGGTGCTTACTTACGATTGGCGCACGGAAATATCAGCCATATTCAGTATTGCGTAGCATCCTAGTGCGGAAGGGTTGGATGGAACGACTCCTCTTACGGAATGTCCGTAGTATCGTTTTTGAAGCGGGAAACGTAAAGAAGCGCATATTTCTTAAGGGATGTAGCGATGAAAGGAGTGTATCTCAGACTTTTCCAATGTGATTTTTCAATCGTGATTTTTGAGCCGTTTTCAATGAAAAGTAAACCCTCTTTTAGCTCTAGCTGAAGTTTACAACAGGCCCTCAAGAAAAATATAAGTAACAAGTAATCTGCAGCGTTACAAATCAAGGTACGCATTTTTACAATTTAACCGTCGATTTGTCTCTCACAAACTTTTCTGATAATTCGAACGATTTTTCTCCCTCCCGCAATTGTACTTACTGCCACATGTGTTGTTTGTTTTATTAATTGAGATAATATAGGTTACTTAACATGTCATCTGATAAAATATGAAAATGGAATACTCTGACTGTGGCAAATTGGTTTTTCTCGTCCAAATTAGTCGCTCATTAATGACAAGTCTAGTTGGCCCATTGTCCAAGACTTTAATCAAATTACCAATAATCTTGAGAGCAGTGACGTCTGGTTTATTGGGGTCGTGTTGTCGCGGTCAGAACGCAGCAGCGTTTCTAAATTAGCAATTAAAACCTCGTATTTGCACTGGTGTGACTGCACAATTTAGAGATATTCCTCGCAATTTCGCGACCCCATCTGCCGGGTCAGCAGTAACTCAATATTTCAGAGATCTTCGAGAGGAGTCAACGCGTGTTTGCACGTGCTTGTGTTGCCAATTCTTCTCCAAATTTCTGGATTGGATAGTTGAATTTTTCATGGAATCATGTTTTGGTGAACTAATCAAATGAATCAATACTGTCGTACTGAAAAAAACGCCGTATGAACGTCCAGGCGTTGCCAAATTTCCCTCTGATAAGATACAAATTTTTCGGGAAAATTGTTCATATTTTTCTTCCGATTTTTGAGACTATTTTGTACGCAATTCAATCTAAAATATCGGTAAATTCGAAGGATAAATATGCATGAATGTTGTCAAAAATACATGTTTCATCGGGAGAAATTCGCAACTCTCGGATGTTCATACGGCATTCTTCCTTGGACGGCAGAGTGGCCAAAGTGCGAAACCACGTATCTTCATTGCGGGGTTCCAAAATTTCCGCTCCTAGCTTATTTTTCAAAGAGAAACAAGCCAGCTTTACAGCTTGAGATCTGTGGAGAATATTCTGCTAACAGAGAAGAAAAATCAAGGAAATTTTCGCTAAATTTCGTTGACTAGTTTTTCAAATAAAAAAAATAAAGTATCACAGAAAGTCTGCATCGTCGCAAACGGAGATGTCTCACTTTTGGCCATCGAGATTCATTTCCAGGACGTTTAATATCAATAGCGAAAGCGAAGACGTCGTGAAAAGCACTATTTTTACGCAGTTTAAAGGCGTCATCCTCTGTATTAGTGCAGCCCTTTGTTTTCTTTGACAAAGGTTTATCAGTTCCACGCGAGGGGCAAGGCACCACATTCCTTTCCCCCGTCACTGCTTAATGAGACCGCGTAAATGAAAAAATTTAAGTTTGGAATAACAAGGGGAATGGCGGCTTCAATCAGGGCCGGATTTACCTACTTGCCGCCCATGGGCCGCGCCTGGATTTTGCCGCCACCTTCTCATTCGTTTTGGAACATCAATAAAAACCATCAAGTGAACATGCCGGAGGGAGAGGGGTGCATAAGACGCGTTCACTCGTGTTGGGCTTATTTTTTGTGAAAGCCCTGTCAACACTAGCAAAAGTTCACGGAACTTTGCGCGAAAGTTAAGTTCCGTAAACCCATCTCTGTGTGGACAAGGCCTTTCATTTATAAGAAATGAACGAACATTCTATGGAAGAAAATCCATGGTTTAATACGTTTAATTTCCACCACCGCGTCTACAGTACTGTGTTTGGCGCATTGCGTAATGTATTCCTACATTCTTGAAGGCGCTATGCGTTTCACGGCGACCGCACCGTTTTTGACGCAATGCGTGAAGTATTCATGCGGTCTTGTAGGCGCTAATGTGTGTCCCATGCTGACCGATGTGCCTAGGGCTTCTCCTTTTCATCTTAAGTCCTCGACATCGCATTGCTCTCTGCGCCGCGCCGCTCTAGTCCAAATTGTGTGTTTGGTTTCTCTCTCAACTAGACTGATGAAATGTACTGTCTCTTGTATCACCGAAAGACGAGCAAATTGGAAATTACTATGCTGTAACTCTCAGGAAATTACAGATGTTGTCGCCTTTTCTCGTTTGTAATGTTTTTTTCTGAATCCGATTTTTTTTTATATCTACATTTGAAATAATTGCAAAATTTGCCGCCACCGCCTTAATCTGGCCCTGGCCTCAATTCCATTTCTCAAGAACAAATGATTTCGTTAATATTGACCCAGGAAAAGCTCACATTCAGATTCTTAAATTATCGGGAATTACAGCCATACTGCACAAGCAGCGGCTTAAAGAGCTGGATAAAGATGGAATCAAGCAATACTTATCACTTTTTACCAAGTTTTGTGCGCCTAGGTCTGGTGGGATTATATTCCTGCATGGGAAGTTTACCCTCGTGTTGGTTTTATTTTTGTATCTCTTTTAAGACATTTGTCAGACGTCGTTTGGGGTAGGTCAGGGAACTTTGATATGATGTTTGTTTCACCTAATTTTCATTTTTTCGCCATTTTATTAAATCTTTAATGGGACTGACGAGAATACGTTACATAGTGTATTGCAATTCAACAAGCAAAATAGTTAAAGTATACGTATAACATCCAAGAGAAACCTACTGTAACAGTTCTTTTTCATTCATCCGTAAATAAGAAATTTTCGTTGATTACCGAACTTTTAAATTGATTATTCTATAGTGTACTTAGACGCTCACCTCGAACAGAGTGATCCAAAAGTCCCGGCCAGCTCAATGACCCTTAGAGTTCTTGCCTCTTTTTTAGGATGGTCCCCGTAAAATTTTGGGGGGTTCTCAAAAGTCTTTTTTTTGACCTAGGAGCACGCACACAATTTCAAGCCTCTACTTCAATTCGTACAAAAGTTACAGGAATGACGTCTGGTGCTTGTGGCGTCGGACTTTTGGATCACGTTGTACACTGGTCGATGAAAATTTATGCTGTTTACCCTGCAGAAGTAACAGAATAAACAAAACAAATAATATGTGTAAGTATAGCTGCTGAAAACTACCGTAATGAATGAGACCCGAGTTTCTTTTTACATAGCTAGAAAGTATTATAGCTATTAGTATGTTCATCTTCACCATTGGCTGACGTTATGAATATCTTTACACAGAAGTTTTGCATTTTTAAAGCAGAAATAATCATCGAATTATGCACAATCTGACAACGGCTGGGTGTATTTGCTTAATTCAACTCATACGTGCCATCGACACTAGACTAGTCTAGGCCTCATTCCTGAATCCATTCGTGAAATTGAAAGTTGTATTACCTTGCGAACACGGATGTCAAATTTTGCACAAAATCTTTAACTTTTTACAGAGGGGTTGAAACAAAAGCATATTTTATAAGGACGGTTGGGCCATGTTTGGTGAGAAGGCACCTCATGAAATAAATTACAGAAGCTCTTTCGCAAACTGATCAGCGGAATTATCTAGAAATGTCAATTTTGAACCACATGCTTTGGTTCTTCTGTAGTAATAAAATTTAAGGCAGCACACAATACAAAAGGTGAATTTTCTGCCATATTCAATTTTCTAGATCGGAAAGGAACAAGCTTACATTCTACATTTTATTGAAAGTTTAAATGTTTGCCGTTAAATCTACGATAATGTTTGAAAAATGTACTAGTTCTTCAATAAGCACACATTTCCCATGCCATAAGAGTTTACTGAATGCCACCAGATTCTCTCGAATCCGAATACCAGCACAGATGAACTATGCTGTGCGCAGATAATGAATTTCGACGGCCAAACTGCAAGAAAATGGAGATCGTTTGCTGCGTATAAAAATCTCCGCTACTTTTCTTGGTACTCAAAAGGGACCGAACCAACATCATGGCTTTTCCAACAGTGTAACACTGAATACATGCATTTGTAAAAAAATGTATTAAACATGCGTTTTGAAAATAGAAAGAATTTTCGCACAAAAAATTACTTCTTCCTTGAGAGTTGCTATATGGGAAGGAATATTTTTTTTTAAAAAAAAGAAGAAAGTATATAAAAAAGAAGAAAAAACTGATTCATCCGGTCAGAAGATCGGTCTAAAAACTTTCACGACACAGAAAGGTCATAAAAAGCTCCAACTTAGAAAAGCAAGAATTCTAGTTTTAACATTTTTTAACATTATGACTACGGATCCTCCTTATTTTAAAAGGTAGCTTTCATGCAAAATCTAAAATTTGTAATTCGCTAACCGTTCCTGGGAGAGATGTACTCTAAGCCGGTTCTTTATTTATACATATATAATACCGATAACTTTGTTACCTTATACAAGGGTAAAGTAATAAAATAAAAACGGACATTTCTTCAACTTCACAATCCCTGAAACGTGTAATTGTCAAAGCATCGATTTGAAAGTGAAACAACGGAGGTAAACAGATCCCTAAAAACACACAAATTTAGTATCTCACGCACACAAGATTGAGAACATCGAGCAGGTGTAAAAAAGCAGGAGTTTAAGTAAAACAACCAAAAGCGAACGCAATTTTGTGAAAACTTTTAAGTAGATGAATCCATGGTGCACGTATCTGGAAGCCGGTACAAATCAACTCGCGAAGAAGTCAAGATTTTCGTCTAGGAGAGGCCGCGAGGGGAACCTCCAGGAGCGCGCCCCCCACCCACCCACGCTAGAGGGCGGGCGTCCTAGAGCTTTGTTATCACACGCCAGGGGGGAGGGGGTGGCAGGCGGTCTAGGCGACGCGGCTCGTCTCCCGTTTTTTATTGCTTATAAATATCAGGCGCCGAGATTTGTTCTGAAAAGTGCGGCCGGTGCGACTCTTTTAAGTTATATAAGGGTGCATCCTCTGGATCCTCGATTCATTCGTATCTCGCGCACCGTCGTGTTTAGTTAGTGTCGTGTAAACCCCTTTCCGTCAAAATGATGAAGGTGAGTCCTCGCTTTGACTCCTTCGTTCAGTGCACAGTGGTCGGATTTTGATTGGATTCTTCTTTGGGCGGATTTTCGCGAGTGGATTTGGTTCACTTTTTGGACTTAGTGCGTTCACACTTTTTTGGTTTTTTATGCTGGCAGCACCGGCAATCACATCAAATGTCACCGACCACCTCCATGCTATCCTGCTGAGGAAGAGGGAAAATGAAGAATCGGCTTGAAAGAACACCTTAGTTTGATTACTAGGCCTCCTATGGACCGGTCTCATGTTTACCTCGCGTTCATATTTGAGGGACTTGGAGGACAAGGCGCATAAGTGCAGTTGTAGCTATTCTGAGGGATACGTGTTTCAAGTTTCGAAATTACATGGATCCTTATGGCGGAAAAAAGGTTCAAACTGACTTTTTGATGCTTAAAAATTGAATTCTAGGAGCAAATTTTTTACAGACCAGTCTAACTTTGAATAATTAATAACTCAATTTTTTCAAAAGCTGCTCTTATGTAGTTTGTCCTCTAAGCCCCTCATTTCATTTTTAGTTACAATTTTGACATAATCTGGTTCCTTCCAACGCGTTGAGTAAATATTACTACTGATAAAGTCTACTATCGCCCTACTTAATGTGCTCTTCCTTGGCAGGTGGCCGGTCAGCATGGGTGGATCAGAAATGGAACTAACGCAAACTTTTGGTCAAAAGATATTGAGCCAATTTTTCGACCTCAATGAGTGTGCAACAACCCTTTCGAATCTGTTTCAAAAAGTGAATTAAGTTTTATCTCTAAAGTTTGCTTCTCAAGTTTAACGTTGAAGTTTACTTTGCGATGCATCCGCAATATACTTCAGTAACAACCCTAAGAGTGAAAACGCCTTCTCGAGGCTTTCTGATCTCCAAAATCAAGTTTCTTACCACTGTGCGGCAACAATGCTTTGCATGTACATACAGTCAACCTTGTGAATTGCACCGCTATCTTTAAGTCTTTTTATACAACGGACCTAAGCGAATAGCTTTTTTTGTCAATACGTATTGGTACAACGTTCGGGCCCTACAAAGTAGTTTTTTTTATCAATAGCTTATTTTCTAAATTGTGCAACTATGATTGTGGAATGTTGAAAATTTACGGTTACATTTCGTTTTCAACGTCATTATATGTAGATTTAACATCAAAGGTCTTTATAAATATTGGATTTTGCATACTTTTTCTTTATCGACAAATATCAATGATATTTTCTACAGATTATTAACACAGAAAATAAATTTGATTACTTGCCAGTAACTTATAGGTTAAAGAAAAAGTAGTTCGCTTTATCGTTCAAGATTTGTCAATGAAATTATCAAATTTTTCAGTAATAATATAGAATCAAATGTCACAGAGGAACGCAGCAATTCCTAGTTATTTCTCTTTTAGATATTCAAAGTGCACATAAAAAATATACAAATTGACCAAATCAAATGAAGTGAAACGGAACGGAAACTCAAGTAAAATTAAAGCTGCTAAGTCCACGGATAAGGAAAAAAATGAGTTCCGTAAAATTTTTAGATGTCCACTAATCAATTTTTGAAGTGACGCATGAATTATACGTACCTTTGTTTACCATTACTGCCCTATGAAACACGCATGTCGTATTCTCTTAAATTCCCAATTCGTAGACTGTCTTTTTCATGTCACTGTCACATGTCGTGGAGAGAACAAACAATTTATTAGGAATATTTTAAAATTTTACAACGTCTCTCCTTTACTTTTGACTTGAGATAACCCCAATAGTTCAAAAAAAGTCGAACTTTATACGTATTCTTCATCGATATATACACATAATGACATTTTTCAACGTAAGCTGAGGTATATGGACAGTTTTTTTTTTTTCAATAATTCATTTGTATATTAAATTAATATTTCTTTTAGAATCAGCGGATACTTCAAGTATTAAAGTGTCAGAAATTTCAATATTTTTTTTAAAAAAAAATGAAGGAACAAATCGACTTTTAATATTATTTTTACATATTACTGTATTCGTATTCTTTTTCCAATGTTTGCTTTCCTCCCTCATTTTTCAATATGCTTATCTAAAATTCAAGCAATAGCTATCGCGATTAATTGAAAAAACTTAAATTGCATCCTTCTTCATTTTGTTTCATCTTCAAAGGATATAATTCTCACCCTCATGGACCAGTGAATAGGACAACAATTAAAATTCCTCAGGACATTTTTCGTCACCAATACTTCACGTTAAACTTATCAAAAACTTTAAAATTTTACTCATTAGTGGACGTTTATTTTTCACATAATAATCAGTAAATTCAAACTTAATTAATGTCCATCGTATTCAGTGACGACCCGATTGACAGCAAATAAACAGGAATAGCGTGAAAAATAAATTCCACATCCAGGATAGAGTCGTGTTTCCGTGCGTTTAATTATACAAAGCGTGAAGGCTTGAACGTGTGTTTAGCACACACCCACACATGCTCCTCGCGTGTTCACAGCGGTAGCATCGAAGATGCCTCCAAATGAAGCCTGATTGGCTGAAAAAATGCCAGCTTGCTTGGAAATTACGGAGCTTTTTAAACGATTCACCCATTGAAGGGAACTTCCATGTTCTATCTGACAAGAGAGGAGCTTCAACCACTGGGAAGAATATGTGCTTGACACCAGAAACCCTGAAATCACACGGTTCGGAAGTCGTCTTCCTTCCTAACCTTGCGTTTAAGTCTCCTCGGCCTCAACCGTTGTCGTCATCACGAGGATCGGTGAAAGGGTGTTTAGATTTTCTGACACATAAAGTACAGCGAGGCTGATGCCATGCAGCATTTCTGTATAGATTCAATAAGATCGCAAGTGGTATATCGCAAAATAATCGAGTGGACCTGCGCGGAAACCAAGATGTGTACAAAATATGAGGAGCCCAATTGGCATTTTTCTCTTCTTTTTGGGATTTCTCTATTTTTTGTGGGAAAGGGGTTATTTTATAATTAAAGTATTATAGTTTAAATATAATCTCATTGACTTTCCTTATTCACATTTAAAATGCAGAAGATCAATTAAGCACGACGTCCCTCTTTCATTGTGATTATATCTAGAATGACAAAAAAAGAAAAAAAAACACGGTTTTTTTAAAATGCTTTTTCGCAGTTACTCTTTAAACAAAAGTTTGTTGTAAATAGCAGGTTGTTGTTTATCTATGCCCTGAAAAGCGCATAAAATGAATATATTTTTACAACACTACTTAAAGCTGATTAAAGTTTATAAAACAAGTTCAGACAATCTGTATGTTTTAGGACAATGCTACTTAAGACATCGATAATAGATTGCTCCGTCAAGTTCCAATTCATCTATGAAGTGGCAAAATAAAGCGTTAAAGCCCCCGGTTTTCCAAAAAAAAGTCAGCTGAATCATATTAAAATTCAGTAATATATTTTTTCAGATCTCACATATTCATGCGTTACATAATTTCTACATAAACGCCACCGGTTGGAATATTGAAACGAAATGGAGAGATACAACTCATTTGATCAGCCCTTGCAGATTATTAAAGTTTCACCTGACACTTTGATAGTATTAGAATACACAATTTTACATAATTCCAGTAATCCATGCAATCCCCTTAACGAGGAAATGACGTAAAAATGCCGAGCATCTTGCAATATAGTATAATTTCATCGCAGTAATATATTTCGTATGCGTTAATAATTGGCGGCGACTTAAATACCTACTTGGTGAGTTTATGCCTCTGAATATGGGATATCAGGGTGAGGCAAGGGGTCGAAATTGAGGTGTTCGGAATACTAACTCATATGCACGCAATGCACACGTAACACGTAACCTCGTCCTTTCGCGAGCAAATCCGTCAAATCACGTCATCTGGAGGTCCCGAGGGTACTTTGTGGGTGCATCGTGGTGGGTGCGGGTATGAGGAGTGCAAAAGAAAGGTCGTCAAGATCACCCGCAACATGGTCGGGGCTGGGAAAAGTCGAGGTTCTGCCACTCTCACTACCGCCACAAGACGTATGAGTTATTGCTCCGTAGGCTTGATTCATACCGCAGAGCCTGGATTGATTCAATGGGCTACGGCTTAGGACTGCAAGTAGAGTAGATCAAAATATAGAGGGAAAATATCTGTGTCGTATTTTCTTTTACATAAAGCACGAACATTTTGTATCATAAGTTAAAGGATCGCAAAAGACTGGTGCAGTATATAGCAATGTCTCTCGTTTTTTATCGTTTTCCGGTGTTACCAATGTAAAACCATGTATAAAATTTTCATTTTTACGCCAAGATGGTAGGATGCGTCTGAATATTTTTTCAATCAAAATTCTTTGCGTTTAATTAGAGATCATTTGCTTCATGATTAATTTATAATAACAAAATCGTAATAAACCAACACAATATGCCAAAAAAGTCGCACGGAATTAAAACTTGAGGCCTTTATTTTATTTTTATTTTTATTTTTTTAGGAGCCATCGAAAATTGTTATACGTTGAATATCGCAAAAATCATGCTGCAACTAGATTCGTCTATTCGTTTTTTAAAAGCGTCTCGCTCTAAATCAATGTAAAGCTCAAACGATCACGCTCACATCCTGCTCAGGAGTCAAAATTAGACATGTTTAGTGTTGAGTTAAAAATGCGGCTTTAACATTTAAAGTATAAATAAACAGACTTTCTCAAATTTACAAACTGAATTTCCTCAAATTCCATTAAGAATTTTCTTCACTTATACCAAGATACTCATAAAAACTTCAGTAGTGTGTTCTGGTTACTTTTCGTTTAAAAGGATAAAACATAATCGGATATCATTAAAATTGCTTCAAAGATACATATTTTTCCATTTTTTGGCCATTTTTTATTGCATCAGCCATCGATTACTAACTTCAATCGTGGTCTCGAATAAACTTCTTACTTGCTTACGTTTACAAAACAACAATACTAACTCCAACCGCGTCACGTGAAATACATATCATAGCTTCGGCAATAATAAAATTTCGACCGGATGGAGACAGGGCA